CGCGTTCTTCTTCTTTTTTTTTTTTTTTTTTTTTTTCCAGTTGGCTATTTTTAGGACGCTACAAGACAGGACGGCGAAGATTGGCCACGTGTCCGCCCTCTGCGATGGCTCTGGTACTTCTTCTTTGGGCTTACTAGGTGCGCTACTTGTTGTCCACCAACATTTTACGTGCACCTGGACAACTACCCTGTTGAGATTCACTCAGAATTTTGGCGACTAGCGAGTGGTGCAACTAGGCCCTTCGCGTCCAACTGGCTTTAGAAGACTACATGGACAGAGAGACCCACACACACACACACACACACTCACACACACACACACACACACTCACACACACACACACACACACACACACACACAGAGCATACGGCAACAGCAGGAGGATGTGTGTGTGTAAGAGGTACTCCAAGGAAACACTTGCATTGCACATGTCCATGAAAAGGGCAAGTCGGTATTCTTCTACGCGTATCAATTGCCCTTACTCAAACGCAATATTGCCAGGGCCCAGGGGTATTACGGTAAATTCCCCCCCCGAAAACTACCGACCAATGCTCCGAAGGATCCGGAGGAGGACATAGATCTTACCGATAGACATAAATCTTAATCCTATTACGGATAGGCATAAATCTTTAATCCTATTACGGATAGACAAAAATCTTTAATCCTTTTTTTTTTTTTTTTTTTTCCTTTTTGAACTTTTTCCTGAAACTGAATGTTGGTGTTACCGACAGACATCAATCCTGCTGATAGTTCTGGAATGTTGCTGATAGGCAAATTTTAAACTTTTTTATCGATTTGCAGAACTGATAACATCTTATCGTTTTTGTCTAAAAAAAGAAAAAGAAAAAGAAACTACTACTACTCGGTACTTTGTCCATTGTCTGACCTTGGTAAAAATGGTTTAGGCATGGGCAAACAACAATATGTGCGTTCCCTCTTCCCCTCTCCGCCCGCCCTCCCCCCTCACCCCGCGCAACCCGCGCCACCCGGCGCCACCCCGCGCAACACCATCAACAACCAGAAAGGTAAAATAAAAATAAAAAAAGAGGAATAAAAGAGGAAAAAAAGAGGAAAAAAAAGAGGAAAAAAAGAGGAAAAAGAGGGCATAGATAGGCTACCAGCCGGGCCGCCCGGGTCACCTTCTTTGCCCGGACGGCCCGGTCGTGCAAGGGCCAAAGAAGGTCGCAGAATTTTTTTTTTTTTAATCCAAAAAATCTGAAAAAGTCTATTGTGCAGAAAAATAACTTGAACAACTTTTGCCTCAGGGTCACATCGACATTCTTTACAAAATTTAAAGCAAAAATAAAGTTAAAATATATATATTGGGGGCAGCCGCCGCTCAACCTACATCCACGTGGGCGGCCTTGTACGCAAAGGAGGTTCTTTCTGAACAGGGGGAGTTGTAAGCAAGAAGATAAAAAATGAATTGATATCTTTTTTGTTTCCTTTTGTTTTTTTCGTTTTTGCGCTCTGATAACTTTGTGACAATATGTATACGTATATGTTTGAACTTTGACGATATATATACTACGGTTTACCGGGCAGTTCTGTTTGTGACGATATATGCTACGACTTCGCTAGCTTCCTGCTACGGTTTTTTCCGGTCAGGTCGAGCGGCAGTGGTCGGGGCCGTTACTAGGCGGCCATGCTGTGCCTCTAGTGCCAGCGGCGTGTCTGGAGTGTATTTTTTGGC